ATGGCTGCTGACCAGAGAAGTAGTACCGACACTGGAGAACATGAAGAAGAGGAAATACCATTTATGCTCCAGATGTTACTTATGTGAAGAACAAGCAGAGCCAGTCAACCGTCTCTTTTTACACTATAAACGGGCAAACCAGCTATGGAGACTATTTATCTGCTTGCGGAAAATCTCTTGGGTGAAACCAAGGAACATAGAAGGAGTGTTGAAGTGTTGGATTAGAGTTGGCAATGCTCCAACAAAGGACAAAAGATGGGAACATTGTCCCAATTTGTATATGGTGGACAGTGGAAAAAAAGGGATCAAAGATGTTTTGAAGGAAAGAAGAGCAATTTATAGAATTTTAAGATCAATTACCTAACTTTGTATTACTTTTGATGTGAACAAAAAGTGTTAGGAAAGAATGAAGATATTTTAGATGTTTAGATTATTTGTAACAAAAAGAACAAATAGGCCTCCTAGATTATAATACTTTTGGAAAGGTGGACTAAACTTTGATATAGTATCCATTTGGATATATAGATGGAAAAGTTACCATTTCTCCAAAAAAAAAAAAAGCCTTGAAACTGAAGGACCTCTCCCTCCCTTTTAAAATAAATAAATATAAGTGCTCCATCTTCTTTATTTTGAAACAAAGAAGTAAGGAAAAGAGAGACACAAGTTTCTCAAGAACAATGAAAGATCAACTAATCGCTCAAGATCGATCTAGAGAATACCATGGATTCGGGTACTACCCTGACTAATGTACTGTTTTTTGGATGTTATGTGAAAATCAATAAGTTTCACTATCCTAATGTCATGAATAGGGATTTACATTAGTTTGTTTATGGTTTACTATCAATAAACCGTGAAAATCCTTACAAATTTTACTGTTTCTCAAAGCCTTTTTAATATGGTAAACAATCCATATTCTAGCTTCTTCATATGTCTAAATCTTATTAGAGAAACCTTAACTACCACAAAAATCTTCCAATAAATAACAAAAATGCAAAGAAAGCTCACTATATACTATCAATTCAATGATAATTCTCTTTGAAATGACTGTTCAAAAAAATGCTAGAGTTTTGAACAATATCCTCACCTGCAATGGTGACAATGCAGACAAGAACCCATCGAAAGCTGAAGTGGAGGGCCAAACATCAGCTGAATCCTTATGTCCTTTAGGAAGCAACCTCTTGTAACTCTGAATGCACAAAAATACAACCAAATCAAACACATTAACACCAACAGACCCAATCTCGGAGGGCTTAGCGGTAACGAGAGGGTCAAAGACGGAGTGAAGATTACAAACAATGGTTTCAAGTACAAGTCAAACTTGGTCAGGCGAGATCTGAAGGGACTCAGCAATGGATTCCAGGTTTACACGACAGGGACAATAGCTTGTCCTTAATCGGACCGTGTTCCGTCTGTGAAAATTAGATTTGGGATCGGTAATACGCCGTGTTCGAATGGATCTCTACGTGGGTGTATGTAAGCTGGAGAGCCGGATGGTGTCATTGCGGGTGATGGTGTTTCATCAGATTCTGTCATTGATATTTGGCCGTAGATTTTCAAATATTTTTGGGTGAAAATTTGGGTTAAATTTCACCATGCTTTGGCCATAATATTTAAGAAATATATTTAACCTTTTTAAGAAATATGATTTATATTCATAAGTTTTAAAAACTATTAAAACTAACCATAGGTTTGTATTAATTGTGCATGACTTTGTTACCCTAAGCTGAATGTTCATCATTTTCATCAATAACCATATCATCACTTTCATATTCACTGAATATTTCATTACTACTTTGATGTTCACGTAAAAATTATGTAAAACAACGCAAACAACTATTATAGAGGGTGTTCTTGTAAAAGATGTAAGTTTGGTGTAGAATTTGAATTATTTAAAGTTCCCAAATAATGAAACTTGGCCAAATACTAGTTTTTTCTAGTATTTGGGAATTTGGGTTATTTACCAAAAATATTTGTCAAATAATGGCAAATTGTATGGACAAACACTATTTGTCAATTTTTTTTTTCCAAATTTTACTTGGGAAATCTATGGCCAAACGGATCCTTAGACTAGTGTATCTATGAAAAAACTCTAAATACAACATGAATAACAATGTTTACTAGGACAAGGTCTCGACATAGCCATAAACAAACAAAGTTGAATAAATAAAGATTATGCCTCAAGATCAAGTGAGACTCACCAAAACCTGAGTGTGGAAAACCTAGCATGTAGCCCTGTCTTTGTGAAAGTCTGAACCTGCATCGTGAAATGTAGTGCCCAGACAATGGGATCATAACTAAATGTGGAACAGTACTTGTATGTAGTATAGCATATAATGGAACATTATGAATACATGAATAAAGGGACAACAAAAGCAATATTAATAAGACATGAAAAAGAATCAAGTAACTCTATCACTAGGTTGACCTCAACGTTTTGCATGATTAATCATAATGTATTTCTTTTTTGAGAATTAAACACCATGTAAGCACATGTAGTCCGATCTTGACCCGATAGGCTAAGTTATCACATCATCTAATCGGGGTGATGAGACTTAAATATCATAAGCTAGAATTTAGAATGATGCACATATTGTGGGTAACATAGAGGAATCATTGAATTAACGGTACCACCCTTATCTATGTTTTCATGTGTTGTTTCGGGTGTTTATCATACAACTCAAGCCTTCTCAATTAAAAATAATTTTCCCAACATTTTAGTGATAAAAGTTAGCTCAATGACTCATAATCATGATTTGTTTTCATCGTCATTAGGATCATAGCATAAAATCATCAAGTTCATATTTTTTGATAAAGTACCATAATTCATCATTTATTATATTTTTATGCTGAGAACAATAAAAATCATAGGATAGACATATAATAGAAATCTAAGGACAACATAAGGAGTACATGACATTCGTAGTAAGTGTAACAATCTGGTTGGTCATTTTTGGAAATTTTCATAAAATTACGGATTTACCCCTCCCTATATTGGCCCCGATTCATTTATGATGGTTTTTGAAATTGTTTTGAGTTTTGAGCAAAACATTGTGAAATGTGAAGTCTATAAAGTTTTTAAAAGCTAAAGTTGTTAAAAAGTGGTTTTCGATGTCTTTTGGAGTTTCGAGTCTCGAAATGGAGTTGTGTCGGTTTCATCAGTCCCAAAATGTAGAAATTGGTCCAGGAGAGTTGTCGATTTCAAATTCGGAGTCTTTTTGAGGGTTTGAGGTCCTAAGTTGGAAAATGTTGAATTTTTAGCCTTTGAGTTGACTTTGGTCAACATTCAGGGTTTAGATGCACAAATCAGATTTCCAACAGTGATATTGGATTTGGAGGATGATTTTAGGCCTAAGAGAGGTCATGGTTGAATTTTCAGAGGTCTCGAGCTTGATTTGGTCTTTTTAGGCGTTATGCTTGTTCATTGTTACTTTCTAGAGTTTCGGATTAAGAAGACATCAGATTAGTGTTTTGATGGTTCCATTGAGTCTGGAATGTCGAGTTTAGTCATGTAGCATATATGGTTTGTGTGTATGGGGTTCCGAATGAATCTCGATGGTCCTTTTGGTGAATTATGTGCCTTATGTGTTGTTGGTTCTGGTGTACCTCGCGTTCGCGAGGATTACGTTAGCAATGCCCTGGTCGTGTTTGCAAGGGATCAGGAGACTTGATCCTCACTTTTGCAATGGTCTTCTCGCTTTCATGACCTCCGCGTTAGTGAAGGCCGACTCGCGGAAGCGAGAGGTCCCTTTTTCCCGTGCTAGCTTTTTCAAAACAAAGGTACGTTCGCGAAAGAGAACTTGAATTCACTTTTGCGAGATCTGAGAGGATTTTTTGTCCGAAATTTCGGAGGATTTCTCAATTTTCTCTCATTTTGAGTGTTGGAAAACCCTTGGAGGCGATTTTGAAACAGATTTTTTGTGGCGAATCATTTAGGTAAGTCTTTGTAAACCAAAACCTTCAATTACCTATGATCATTTGTGGATTTTAACATAAAAAATTGGGATTTTTGATTGGCAAATCGACAAGGTTTTCATGAACTTGAGCTTTTAAGAAAAATGGTGATTATGAGTTGAACAGAACTCCGTTTTCGAAATGGTTTACACAAATGGACTCCAAATGCTTTGGGTAGTTTTTGGAATCGGGTTTTTGAGTCGATTTGACCCATTTATTCAAATTGCTTGATATGAGTGTTGTTAGTTCCGAAAGCTCATTGTGAAGACTTGTTTGACTAGATTGTGTTGATTTGGATATCGTTTGGAAGGGAAAACTCAAGTCTTGGATTGAATTGTGATTGACTAAGGCAAGTGAACATCTAAACCTTGTTAAAGCTTATAGAATCTTGAACTCACTTTCATGTATGTGTAGGGGAGTAATGGGAATGAGGTAATTGTGCTTGTGCATGATTTTTTGTGATTGTTGGTTGGCTCGAGTTCTACGTTGGTACACTAACTATGAATGATTCAAGTACCAAGTCGGTACACTAACTATGAATGACTTAGGTACCACACCGATACACTAACTATTTGTGCTTGGGTTCCGTGAGAGGACCAGGTATGTGATTGTGGTTCCATGAGTAAATCGGACATTTGCATTGTGAAGAGAAAACCAAAAGATAAGAAAAGAGATGGAGAGAGAAAAAACACTTCATTAAAGTAAAGGATTAGAACGGAAATGAAGTGTTCTTGTGAGTTGTGATGGAGAGATAAAAAACACTTTCTTTTGTCACGTGAGTTGTGATATTCTAGGCAGCCAAATAATATTGTATTGCTGTAATGTTCCTGACACTTGACATTAATGAAAAGTCTGTTTATATTTGTAACTATCTTCAGTAAAAGGATTGAAATTGTTTTGCTTAATTAAAGGTTAAATGAGAAAAGTCGAATATCACATGGATTAAAATCATAATAAGATCATAACACAGGGACAAAAATAATTATTTTTCCGGCAAACAAATGGGTTAAGGGGCAGATTGTGAGAAATATATAAAAAGATATGTGAAGAATGGGTTAAACAAGTGTTGGGGTATTATTCATTAGTTTTGTTACACATAAATGAAGGAAGCCATACTAAGATTGCAAAATTAATTAATAAAAAAAGAAATGCAAAACATAGTTTTATTTATGGGTATGGAAGGGTAGCAATATGGTTATGAGCCACAGTCCCAATCCATAGCTTGCCATTTATTTCTCTAACTTCACTAACCAACTTCATAACTACACCTTTTTTATCTTGAAGAACATCAATAATTTCTCCATTTTCATTGAAGAGTGATATAACAGTGTACATTTTCATCCCCATCAATCTAGCCAGGTAACGCATCTGAATTGGTAATCTAAAGTAAATGCTTCTCATCCATGGATTGTTTATCAGGACTTCTTGTGCACGAGTTCTACAACAATCTATTGCAACCCAAAATTGACCTTTTTCGTTCACCCTTACGTTGTCTGGAAATCCTGGAAGGTTTGCAACAATCTCAACTATCCCTCTCTTTGGACCTTCTATCCAGTATTTCATCAGCCTGAACACATAACATCAAGGTATTATAACAAATATTTGTTGTCTCCGTGAATCAAACGTTTAGGTGATTTACTTCTGAATTAAACAAACACTTGTAGGAGGGATGGATACCTGCAATTGGTTGTTTCAGTGAAGAGAAGAAAAGTTTGATCCTTGGATAATTGTACTCCATTAGGGAACGTCAATCCATCCAAAACAACATGAGTAGATTTCGTAGCAATATCGTACCTAAGAAGTCTACCACTGTCTTCTCCTTCTAACATTATGAGAAAATGATTCCTACATAAGAAATTTATATAATGAAAGAAGAGTAATATAAACCACTACAATTGTAGTATTTGATAAAAAAGATTTGTTAACCTACACTCTGTTGTATTTCTTGCTAGTGTCCGTGAAGAAGATGGAGCCATTTGTATGGATATCAAGGTCGTTGGCGAAGAGTATTCGGTTCCCTTCAACATGTGTAGCCAAGGACGTTGCCACGCCTCCTTCAGGACCCACAACTAGGAGTCCATAGTATGCATCTGCTATGTACAAATCCCCTGTCTGTTTATTGAACCTTAGCCCAAGGGGCCTGCCACATTCTGGCTCAACTCTGTATTGCTTAGGTGTTGTTGAATCTTTTCCTTTAGCACAAAGCTTCTCCGACCTTTATACAGGGAGATCAATGAAATTTAAAAGAATAATACTATAGAGTATATATATACACCCTATCCTCCCTACTTCCTAATACAAAAAATACATTGCAATTAATCCATCTTCACAACATATTCAATATGTCCGTCCATAAAGATATATAATTCAGATGCTTACCAGTTACGTGTGACGAGTGCAAATGTTTCCCAACCAGCATCTTCCCCCATCCACCGTACAATACGTCCATCAGCTAGTCCAGCATATGGTCCATGACCCAAAATATCAAATTCAAGTGATTCAGGACCATAAATTTCATTAACAAACTCCAAATTGCCGAGGCCTAACCGGTTATTCTTGTCTCCATGCCAACTTTCCATGACTTGTTTGTATGGTGCAATGTCATTCTTCACTGGATTAAAGTCAGTGTCCCCTACTGGACTTAAACCAAATGGATCTGCCACAAGGAAAGCGAAGGCTAGTGAAAGAAGAAACAAGTGAGGACGTTGTGAAACAAGCTGGCTTCTTATCAATTGGATCCTCTTCTCCATGTGAGGATCGTTGATAGGTATCAGTGGTTGGAAGGTGGGGAATATGGATGCTGAAGTTTAAGCTGTTTAAACTGGAAATGTAAGATTTCACAATGTTATAGGATGAAGGAAGACACACAATGTTTGTGATCCAGTTGTTGTTAGAAGTAAGTTGTCCATTTGTTAGTCATGTTTTCTGCATTCTTACTTGTTATTGATAATAATGAAATCAGAAGGTGCATTCATTCATTTTTTGGTCAATTCCAATATGATAGTGAGAAGCAACCATTTGTTCTATGAGTTAGATCATCATTCAAACTACATGTTGTTAACACTCATCGAGTAAATACGATTACTTGTTTTAGATGAGAGAAGAGGAAGATGTGAAGTCAGTTCGTAAAGTTAACTCTAGCATATACTATTTATATTTACATACAAATGCAATACAATAAAATGAATCTGAAAAATTAAATAAATATAGGCTGTTGGACCAGGTCTACATCAAACTAAACAGATTGTGCTAAATGAACTAAGCGAACCAAGGCCGAAATAGGAACTTGGTTTCAACATAATGTCACAATCCAAATCTGAAACTTAGCATTGTGATGCGGCATCCCTCGAATCCCTACCAATTAATAGAACTATCCATGCTAAACGTGATAAGACGAATAAGATAACGAGATACATATGCTGATAAGTTTAAAACAGACTAAGTCATAGAGCTACTAATCATTTTAATACATAGTACGAGACGTAGCTCGATACTGAAAGAAAGTGATAGATGGCTATTTCAGTTCACCCTTGGTTCTAGTTGAACAAACCAACTCTTCATTTTGAGTAATTTCATTTGAAATTCTGTTCTTGATTTTCACCCACAAGATTGAGGTAAGTGATTCTAACTTGAATCCATGATTATTTCTTGAATCTAATACTGTATTTATCATTTGAAGATGAAAGAAAAGTTAGAAACTGGGAATTTTAGATAAGGATCTCAAGTTACCTAAACTGAGTTTTCATTACTAAAAAGAGTTTAAAAAATCACGGAGTCAAAAACTACGGATTGTCGCTACAAAAAAAAGCAAAGCATATTGCGACGCTATCCCTCGTTTTATTTTCTTTTTAATTTTTATAGAAAAAACGACGAACAATGACTCTTTGTCTGTCGTTTTTTGATGGATTTTTGTGTCATATAGATAACTAATATTTAATTATTTATTATCTATTGCTCCATTGCTTTTGATTAAGAAAGTAATTTATTAATTATTTAATAACGTAATTACATTTTTTTTAATTTTTTTTTTAAAGAAACGAGCATCGCTTTTGGTCAAAATGTTAATCAAATATTTTAAAAAAAACGATGGACAGAGCTATGTTGTTCATCGTTTTTTTCTAATATCTGGAAGGGCAAAGCCCGTTTTTTCCATTTTCTCTCTCTCTCTCTTCTCCTCCCTCCTTCTCTCTAAATTAGGGATTTTTGAGTTTGAATTGAAGTATTTTTTAAGTTTAAAACCTTAGAACTAATTAGAAGTTAGAACTTGAACTTTAGAATACTTGAATTTAGGATGTTTGAACTTGAATTTAGAAAACTATTGGATTGTATGATTTCTGAAGTTTAGAACTAATTTGAAATTAGAACTTCAATGTCATAAACTTGAATTATAGGACTTTGAGGTAAACTTAGAGAAATTATTAGTTTGTATTATTTTTGAACTTTAGAACTAATTAAAAGATAGAACTTCAATGTCATGAACTTGTAACTTTAGAATTACTTGAATTTTAAGATTTGTGAACTTGAACTTAGAAAAATTATTGGACTGCATAATTTGTAAACTGTAGAACTTTAGAAATAGAACTTAAAACTTTAATGTGATAAACTTGTAACTTTAGAAATACTTGAATTTCAGGATTTATGAAGTTGAACTTAAGAAAAATTATTGATTTGTATAATTTTTAAACTTAAGAATTAATTAGAACTTCGAACTTTAATATCATGAAGTTGAACTTTAGAAATACTTGAATTTTAGGATTTTTGAACTTGCACTTAGAAAAATTATTGAATTATATGATTTTTAAACTTTAGAATTAATTAGAAGTTAGAACTTACAATTTTTTTTTTTAATAAAGTCATCTATCTTATATATCAATTAAAAATTGATTACATGAAGAGGGGGGGGGGGGGCTTAAAAC